ATCGCCCTGATGACGGAGGCAGTATGACCTCTGAAACGTTGGTTAACATCGACCAGACTACACAGCGCAATAACCCAGAAGACAGAAATCTTCATATTCACCGCTGTGAGAACCTCAAGTCTTACATAGGAAAAATGTTAACTTTTTTTTAACAAACTCTCACTTTATTCAGAAAACATGCTCTACATGGTTGCCATTCGTTTGAAAACACATATGGATGCGTCTCTCCCACTCGTGGTGAACTCGCGTTAGCACATCTGGTGTTATGCGCGTAATTGCATTTCGAATGCGTTCCTTTAGAAGATTTACCTATGGATGGAGACTTTTGAATCATCCTGTATTATTCCACAAGGACCAAAATCCCTTAACAGACAGATAAATTTTGCCATCGACACGTAAGACGACCATGAGATACCACATATGAGAATAAACCACAGCCACTGTACCAAGCGACAAAACTGGAGCCATATCCGCTTCAGAACGAAGTAACAAACGAACAAGCGAACGGACCGAAATATGTGACAGTGACGAACATCAATTACGAGCTTCGCACCTCGGTCTTTGCCTAAAATCCTTATGATGAATATCTTTGAGGACCCGAATCGTTCGATTACTCAAGAAATTATCAGCGTTTTATGGTCTGACAGAATTCATTACCGTGCTCACAAAATCCAGTCTACGGATACATCAACAAGTCAACACATTCAGACCCAGTACCTCGACATCCACCTTAATGTTATCCTCTAACCAAAGCCTTCTTCTAAGTCGTCCCTTCTTTTAGGTTTCCGTAAAAAAAAAATTGTACGTACTCTCGTCGCTCTCATGCGTTCTACATGTTTCACCCATATCATCTGATCGGAAGCGGGATGATAGAACATTCTCAGTTGTATCGTAGGAAATTCTCATGGAATTGAATCAAATCTTAGTTTTTCTCCTGGTCGTAGGCGTATCTCCGATTTGTCACTGTCGACCCCGGGGCAGGTCCGTCCGAAATGCGTCACGGTTTCCAAGAATTATTTATTTGTCTTGTACTTAGGTTACTTTTCTCTTAACGAAGTAGGCAGCGCGCACCTTTTCACCTAAGCTCAGAAAGAAAGACATCCCGAAATGATGTGCTTGCAGAATACCAGACGATGGACGAAGTCCACAAACCAAAAAATATTTATTTTTATTACGAATTTGTAATGTTCTCCGCTAGCGATCTTCAAACGACAGATAAACCAAACGGATTGGGGCTTGGATGTGGGGGGTGGATGCAGACACGCCTTCACGGCGTACCTAATATAATTCCTGAATCGTTAAGGGTCATGAACTTACTTAATTCGTAATTCCATGGTTTATCTTACATTACATTTGGCCCACATTGTTTTATGGTCATTGCATTTTATCTTATTATTATTTAGTGTTCTGTCTGAGGACAGGTCCATATGAACAGGATCCTTCCATCCTTTTCTCGGACTGGGACCTGTTCATATACGTTCTTGGCACATGATCCAGAAGTGGTTTGCCATTGCCTTCGTCTGTGTGTGAATGGAGTAATTGTTGCCACGGAGAAACCGGGGAAGCCCCCGGAGGAAAACTCCGGGTTGCCTAGACCACGGCCTTGCCCAACAAAAAATAATGTTATTAAGACGGCTATAATTAGCGTCTCAAATATACAACTCTTAAATAAGGTACCATTACCTATCGTCACTTCAGGTACAAGAATTTGCAACATGGAACATAGGAGTAGAAAATGTTTGTTACATTCAGTGGGGACAGAAATAAGATAACGTAACGAAACACAAATCCTACGACCACTAGGAAGTCCCAGTCACAGGCTTCGAGGTTCAGAATGATTTGTGTGGGTCTTTCATTTGTTTCTTGTCACGCCACAAAACGGAGGCGTAGCAAAGCTAATGGCTAATTTGTTCTGCATGAATGGTGACGGATGAGGGAAACAGTGAAAAATAAATCGAAACAAATAACAAGGAAAACATTTATACGTCCAATAAATTCTCGTGTCGTATCCACGCATGCCTTAAAAAAATTATCCGACCCTGATAAGTTGGTTGTGAAAAACATAATTTACTAAACGCGAGGGGGAAGTAAGAAATTTAATAATTTGCAGGCTTCGCCGAATATTACTTGATTACGTGACAGACTGGGGTGAGACACGAGATACAGAGAGACGAGGAATGGATACAAAGTTTAGAAACGAAAATGTGAAATTAACAGACTATTTGGAAAAGCTATACAGAAGGCCCTGATGGGATAATAATATAGATGATTCAAAGTTAGATACCAATTTTAAATTAATTATGACTCTAAAACTATCTCCCAACAGTCACGCTGAGCGCTTATTAAAAAAATGAATATTGCGAAAACAAACTTGAAATTTGCTCCAATATGGCGTGATTCTTGTCATATATGCAGTTTGGTAATTCCAAAATTATAATTCAAATTTAAATCTAGACGCAACTATGACTCACCCTGTATTAGAATGGATATTATGGAAATACAATAGAATGGTATGGATTGGATTGGATTCATCTGGCTCAGAACAATAACCTCTAATTTTTGCTGACCTGAGTCATGCTTGTGAACTTTCGTTGTCCATAAATGTCGAATGTTTGTTACAAGTGCCACTGTGGGCTCCTGTCCCAATAAATTTGATCGAAGGCGAGTTCCGATGGAAAACTTTCGTCATGACAGCCACGAATTTCAATCTTTGAGGTCAAATGAAAACTATCAACTATCTGCTCCGATACAAACTTTTCAGACGATATAATCTATTGACGCGCGTTTATACCTAACAACGTTCTTCTGAATTTGGAAGCCGTTTCGGACGAACGTACTGTCTCCATTTTCAGAGCAGCACTTCAGCCAATTTTCAGGGATAAAGTACTGCCCTGACGTTGGAGAGACATCAAATTTCTCCGAAATGTTGACACCTACCAACCAGCCCAAACTGAGCAAAAGCTCAGAAGGGCAAAATTAACTCAGCGCCGCGAAAATCTCCAAAAATCTCACATCGTGAAGTGAGCGTAGTTACGAAACTTCCCAAAATAATAATCTTCTTCAAAATGACTGCGTGATAAAATTATCTATAAATATAATTGGTAACTATCTGGGTTGTTAGGTCCCAGTCCGAGCGATTGAAACTTTGTGACGTCTTCAGTGGCTAAGAGAGCGAGCCTGTTTCTCGCTTTAAAGCAGTCTCAGCTGGTTGAAAATCACACGAAGATGTACAGGTTTCAAAACGTGCCCCAGAAAACAACAATTCAAATCCTTCACTGCCAATAAAGAGCCTGTGGCAGGCAAATGTTACAATGAGGTCAGCGTGTTCAGAAACCCCGTGACAAACATCGACAGCCAAACTACGTCGTAGCAACTTCGGACTTGCTACTACCCTCATGTAGAAACAAGGCGCGTTTTTGCATATCAAAGCTTACAAATTAATTCACAGTATTGACGAGTACGTGATTGTTTGCATAAGAATATATTTAACGAAACAATTAGTATTCACTGGAAACCTACGCGCGGCAATGGTGCGTTTGACACAGCCGTGTGTTCCTTGTTTCCGGCCGATCCAAAAGCACATGTGAATGACTCTGGCCTCAGCCACCGATTCTGACGAAAACATTATAATAACTATACACCTTAAACAAAACATTGGTAAAACATGACCAAAAGAAAAAAATCTGGACTAATTAGATTTTATCGATCTGAACATTTTCTCCTGTCAAGAGACTGTCCTCAATGCAGACATTGTTTTTTCGCCGAAAATGTCTAAAAGTCTGCACTTTTCATTTGTAGCAGTGACCGACCTACCTCGAGGTCGATGCGTTACCACACTTCTCACGCTAAAGTAGAAGACTCTCTCACTTGCCGTGTACGAACACGTATACCGACAGTGTCAACTATGGAATGGCAATTTAAATTTATCCGTCACCTCTAATTTGCCACAAACATTCGAGTGTCGAAATACACTTCTCGTCAGTGTATCAAACACCCTCGATCAGCGTGAGATTTCAGATTCTCACGGCTTCGAACATGAAGATGGCTGTCTTCTGGGATGGTGCGCCATGTATTCTGTTAGAAGCTTACCGACGTTTCGGAGGTGCTTACTGCTTCCAGACGACAGCCGTCTTCAGCCTTAATCAGCGTTCTTTCCTTAGTAAGATGACGCATTGAGATTGGTTACGACCGCTTCGCCACAGAAAGCTGTGAAACTCACCGCGTGTGATTTACTGTAGACAGCCAGAAGGTTAGACGTTCCTCATTTGTAAAACAAGTGTCGAGATTTATTGCCGCGTGTCCGATGGCCTAACCACGTGGTCTCAAGTATGGAGCCTTCCGAAAGTGAAAACCACGACGACGGGAAGAAATTTGGTGAAGATTACCAGCAGACAGAACTTGGTTACGCTCTTTCTAAATCAAACACTGTAGATGTTTAATGAAAACGTGCCGATGA